CCTCTACTAACTCCCTGCCTGATACATAAACAGCTGAAAGGGGCAAAGTTTATTTTCTTTTGGAGTAGGGACCCTAGCCAGCCAGGTCAAGTTACTGAATACCTAGCATACATTCTGAAGATTTATTACGCAGTATTCACTGCAGTTGCGTGGCCCCAGAGAAAGGTATAGTGTGTTACAACGTAATGCATCCTAAAATCATGATATCATGCGTCCAGTCTGCAAAGTGTTAAAAAAGGGGGAGCAGAGGTATCGCCACGAAGACGAACACCAGAGAAGAAAAAAGAACGAGGATGTACCGTTAGGCTGTTTGGGACGAACAACCTTTAGAAGGGAGCAATGTGACGTGAATGGAGCAACGCTTGGTAAACACCCCCCCCCTCCAGCGGTGACATAACAGCATCGGAGCAACTGTCACTGCTATGGTAACAGGCCAGTCAACACTCCGTCCCCATCCCTCACGGTGATCTAACAGCACTTCCCATTGTGACGTAACATGGGACACCACGATTACTATGCAGCAATAAAGAACTCTTGGCAACGTTCCCCAGCAACGCCTATAAACACGGTATTTACACAACAGTGATAGCTATCATGTAACTGTTTTCTGTGTTGTCAGTGCAGAAGCTACATAACAAGGGAATTACCAGATTAACCAGTCAGTTGCAGTCTAGCATTCACCAGAGTGAATGAGAACAGTGGAAGTAATTGTGATACTACAGATGGCAGTAGTTGTGAGATTGTAAATTGTGTAAATGTACAAGCGAATGTGGAACAAATTCGCTACATCCAAGATAGCATGAAGTTATTTGTCACGTGACACACACCCAACACGTGACAATATCAATGAAACTCAGTAAGTACAAGAATGGTTAATGAGCATGGTGCTTTCCTTTGACTTTTACGTAGGAAAGTCATGCAGCTTTGACATTTCATACATCCAGGACACATGTTTATTTAATTCTGAATGCCTTTTATGCGCTGGAATGTATAGTGACTGGGTTATTTACACACTGCATACTAATCTGCAATAAAATTTCATCCAAACTCATATAAAAAGGCAATAGGCACATATAAAAGGAACTGATAATTATACTGACTGACTGGGATGGAATAAGCTACAAAAAATTCACAAATTCCCAGAGTTAATAAAATATTGCTTATCTATTCCCCCTCTCAGTTACTCAGTCTAAGTACTCTACATACACTTCAGTTCAAAGATAGTGACTCTGTACCTATACAAATAACCTGCATTAACTTAAGTATATGTTATCCTACTGTCCAAGAGACAGCTTTTTTTTCATTTATCCACCTGTGTACAGATTCTTATTTATAATTATATACAAGATTAACAGGAGAGAAAACTGTCAACCAGGTTAAGAATTAAAACATTCTAAGCATCCTGTTTAATATATACCTCAACAGTGGATGACTGCTTATGTACGAGGAGCGTTCCGTATATAATGCCTCCTATTTTTTTAATGAAAACTACAACAAATACAGAAAGCATAACAACACAGTTAAATAGAGCAAGATTTCAGCTACTTACAGTTATTTTTCCACATAATCACCACCATTCATTATGCACTTTTGCCAGCGATGAACAAGAGCCTGTATGCTGCGCTCGTAAAAGTCTGCACTAGCAGAGGCTAGCCACTTTCTTACGGCTGCAATGATATCATCATTGTCTGGAAAATGTTGCCCATGTAGTCCATCTTTCATAGGCCCAAAGAGATGGAAGTGTGAAGATGCTAAATCGGGGCTATAAGGTGGATGTGGTAGGACAGTCCAGCCAAACTTTGCAGTGTGCGTGGTGGTCTCCAAACTGGTATGGGGCCTAGCGTTATTGTGTTGCAAGCAAAATGGTGTCTTCTTCTCTGGCCTGACTTGAGAAATGCAAGCTTTCAGCTTAGTCAGCGTTGTCTTGTAGCGTTCAGAACTGACAGTCTCACCAGGCTCCAGGAAATCGAACAAAATCACACCCCGCCTATCTCAAAAGACTGTGCACATCACTTTCCCTGCCGATGGCTGTTTCTTGAACTTCATTTTTCTTGGGGAATCCGGATGTCACCACTTCATGGACTGTCTTTTGGATTCCGGCTCGTAGTGGTGACACCATGTCTCATCTCTGGTGACAATGCTGTCCAGAAACTTGTCACCTTCAGCCCCAAACTGATGCAACAGTTCCTGACGGACTTCCATTCAATGAGTTTTGTGGTCCTGTGTAAGCATCCACAGGACCCACCTGGCACAAACTTTGCGATAATCCAGCTTCCCCAACATCACATCTAATGCATTACAGCCGTTATTAAGCCATGCACACAGTTCCCTGGTCGTTATCCACCGATCTGTATGGATGAGCTGATCGAGGCACTGTTCATCGTGAGGAATGGTAGCTGAGCAGGGACGCCCAGGGCATGGCTTATCGTGCACTTCGCTTTCGCCACTGTTGAAACACACTACCCACCGCCTCACTGCGCTGACATCCACTGTATTGTCTCCATACACCTTTAGCAAGCGTGGCAATGGGTGCAATTTGTTCGGCAGTGAAAACTTCAATAACACATCTCTTTTTCGTATGCACTTCTATGTCAGACGCCATTTTGATAGACTGCTCTGCTGTCACTATCTGTCGCACGACACCCAAACTAACAGTACATTGGCGGGAAGGTTCACCCTTTACTGCAACACCACCAACATCCAGCTCAGATGTTACTGATTAACACAAAAAAATAGGAGGCATTATATATGGAGCGCCCTTTGTAGATGAAAACTTCTTTCTGTATTTCAGAAAATCCTCCAGCAAGTCATAAACTACAACTTTCACTTAACTGGTACCCAGTGAACAGTGAATAAGACATTACAACACAATATATATAACAAAAATGAATCAAAGTAGTTTACTTGGCAAGAGGGGAAGCTTGCAAATAATTGTCTATCCAAATAACACACCATTTCATTTGCCTTCTTTTGTAGCTCTTGCCTGTAAAAGTGAATCTTCATGTAAGTTTTGAGGAACAATGGGCAAATCAGAACACCTGAGGAGGATGAGATATATAGCAAAAGACAGAACATGAAGATTACTATCTTCTCAGGTGTTATGACATTAGTGTGGTAAAAGTTTACTAACATTCCTCCAAAACATTTATCAGCATCTACCATACCACACAGGATCACATTCCACAATGCCATAAGAACCCAAAATTCACAAGACGGGATATACTCCACCTTATATGTTAAGAATCAAAGCTGTCAAATGTCCGTACGTGAAGTGATTTCCTCAGATCTAGAAAATTATAACAGATATAAGTATCACCTTCATTGCTGACAAAACAGGAACCAAGATAGTTTGTCTGAATAATAATTTTCCAAAGAACCAAAATCACACTATTTCTCTCAGTGACAAAATCTTCTGATAAATATAAATACATATATTTATTCAAAAATAAGAATACTGTATCACAGATGTGAAGTACAATGGTGACACGACTAGACTCTTTTTGGCTTTTGGACCACAGCATATTCTTGTTCGTTGTACACTTTGTGTTTGGGTCCGAGATCATCTTGAGCATTCTGAGTTGATTTCTTGCGTATCATGCCATAACCATGATGTGAGTCATCAGCCATTCGGCATGCTTGCATTTTTTCGTCTATAACATCATAGTCATTCCAGGATGGATGAGGATCAACTGGAACTGCTGGAACTGGGGGTGGGGCACTGGCTGGAGGAATATGCCTGTAACCAGGGTTGTTATTAAGTTTAGATGATGACCCAAAATGCTGCAGTTTATCATAATTCTCTGTGGATTCAGATTTGTTTGAGATCTGAGTCAGCAAAATTTTTGAACATGGAGATCTGACAGAATTACTATTTTCAGGTTCTGATACTGCTGCAGACTTCTCACGATCTGCTTCCTCCTCAGTATCACTCCCACCAAACTGACGTTCAGTATGTGCTAGGTCAGTTACTCCCATTGTACGCCATGCCTCTTTACGAACCTCCACTTTATCATATGCTAAAGGGTTCTCAAAAGCAGGTGTTACAAATGCTGAGGAAGTGGCTACCACAGGCAGCATAACATTGTTCTTAAGCTTCCTATACCTTACAAATCCACTCTGCTCCAATGCCACATCTTCAGATTCCTCACCTCTCTTCAATGGGCTGGAAGACTGGATATGTTTTCGTGGCGGTTTGGAAGGCACAGGTTTAGGTTTTACTACAGGGACAACATTGTTAATTAGTAACGACTTGGTTTCTGTTACTGGAGAAATTAGAGGTTTAACAGAAGACTGTGATATGGCACTGAAATCTATGTCAAGTAAAGGAGTGGCACTGGTTGGGGAAGGTGGCAGAGGACTCCGAGATCGTGCCTCCATGCTGAGAGCAGCCTGAAATTGGTTGTCTCCACATACAATGACTGGTGTAGACGGTGTTTCACCAGTCAAGAGCTTCCGCATGCTCTTCATCTTGGAAGACAGACATCTAAATATCTCCTGCTGATTTGAGTGCTCCAAATGGAACACTCCTTCACCTGTGTCACACTTACGGCCAGCTTCAAAAGTGAACTTGCCCTCTCGGTATCCATATCGCCGAATGTAGCGATATGGCCAAGTGAAGAGGAGACGGTGATCTTGACTGTCATGAAGTTGGATGGCTGCTGAAGCTACCACTAAAGTATAAGATCCTGGCTCTAATTTGCACCGTGTAGAAGCTTCTGAAGGCACCAAGTTCACAGTGAATACACCTGGCAGATATCAAGAATACAAGTGAATTCAGAACTGAACAGTAACGCATAATATAGAATCTGCAAAATACTGTGACATGAGGGCTCAAGGCCAGAACTGTGGAACCATAAAAAATGGCAATTGAGAGGGAATGACTCTGTATACATGTTTCCACAGCAGTCAGGTCACATGACCACAGCAACAGTTAAGCACACAACAAGAGAGGAACCGTTGGAGGTGGTGTTCTCTGTTGGGTCCAGGCTGAGTGCCAGTTGGAGCTCTGAGATATTTCTGAGACAGGCAGTCTTCAGTCAGCACTAGCCAGCAACAGCAAGGGGTACCCAGTGGAGGCCAGATGTGGGTGACACTCAATGGCCGGGAGTTCCAGCCATGAGAAGCTATGAGACAGTCACTGGACAGTAAGGATGTGAACATGGTAGCAGAGGAATCTACAGCACTGGGAACCATTACCAAGCAACAACCAGTGAAGACACAGCAGACTGGGAAGACTTAGTGTGTGTGGTAGTGAACTGTAGTTCTGAGATTTAAAAAGTCCAATAAATCCAATTACCAATCCAAACACCCATGTCAAATCAATGTGACAGACAACATATATGTTTCTCTTTTAGCATTTTTACTTCCTGTAATAACATATTCTGAACTACAGAACAAATCAGAGGGGTTCTTATCTAGGAAACAAAGTGGTCAGGGCATGAAGATTTACACTCACCTCCACTTGGTGTTAGGGTTAAGAATGTCTGAAGTTATACCTCCAATTCCTCATAGGTTTTCATTGTATGGGGGTTAACTCCTTTAGTATTACAGGCATATACAGATGTACTTTCATATGCTAGATTAGACTACGCAAAGTTAGATAGGATATATATGCGAATTATGTGCTTTGACACTTGTGTACTCTGACCTTGTCCGGATACCGGACTGGATATT